GTCCCAAAAAGTAGTGTCAAGCCGAAGCCCAACGCAGCGGTAGAGCATCACTAGGGCTACCAAAATCACCGTGACTTCTGATAGTTTTCGAGTTATGATTTTTACAACATAGGTATATGATTTTAGTTTACATTCGTGTTATGGATGTAAATACTTCTGAATCAGCTAGGCCTAGTAGTCATCTAATAATAATAAAAAAATCAGGCATGTAACTTGACTATTCGCGCAATCGCGCCACAGTGACCAAAAAAGTGCCTAAGCACAGAAATTTCAAACAATCACAACGCGAAAGCTATCAAAAATCGCGGAACATACATACATTACATGGGGGTGATTTGGATAGCCCTAGTGGGCTCTACCTCTCCTCTACCTCTGGGCTTCGGCTTGACACTACTTTTTGGGACACCCTGTATATGAGCAAGCTTGACTCGACGATCTGGTGAGGATCACGGGTAGTTCCTGGATGCGGAGAGCGCAGGACAGTCGTCCTGGAAGTCCTTGAGGATTTAAAACATCGACTGGATCCACTGTTGAGGATACTACTAAAACGTATCAATGACTAATACTCAGTAATCACCAAAATATCTCACCTTAGCCATCTTAAGTAAATCGTAACAACAATGCTAATAGCATTTTTGTATTTCAGCAGAGATTAGATAACCATCCCTCTGTAACGCTGAACATGCAGGCTGAAATCTTTCTAAAAATCATCGCTAAAAAAGCTCTAAGCTGTTTTGTAACAATACTATGTAGCTATTTCCCTAGAAATCTTCTAACTTGACCAGGGTAAAATTAAGCAACAATTTTTATTTTTTCGTTAAAGAATCAAAGCAAACAAGCATCCAGACTCTAAATATAGGTTTTTTCCCCGAATAGAAACAAGGGGAAAGTCCTTCTATTTTTAAAATAGGCACACACCGCTTTTATAAAAGTAAACTTTCTATTTTTATACATTACTCGTATAACTTCCCAATCAATTTTCCCCTTGCTAAAAATATTCATAACGATATTTAAAGCACCGTGAACTAAAGCCTGCAACACAACTAGAGCTGTGATCACTCGAGTGTGAGCTCGACGAGGCTGCAAAGTGTATATCTCGAGTTTTCATACAAGTATTGATTTGTTACACCTAAGTATTATATTTCACGCCTCAATGGCCGACTTGCAGTAGAAAATTTAGCAGTAGCTTCAAAAGATAAAATTTTAATACGTTTATTATTTTGATGCTTTTCTACACAGTTGTCTATGTCATATTATGGAAACATTATCAATAAAAACTGCACATCTCATTAATGCAGTATCTACTTACAACTTAACCATTAAAATTACTAAAAAATAAATTCATACCAATTATTTTTCTAGCTTGGCGCTTTCTATGGAACCTTTGAATCTTTTTTTTTCCTTTATTTGATTTGGATTAGATTAGATTTTTTATCCACACGTATGTCAGCCCCTTACCTCTGAATCTTAGTTTTGCAGTTCCTTTACAAAAATAAATAACAAAATAGGTGGTCATCAAATATTTTAGATTTGGCTTGAGTAAATAGTAAACTCACTGTGTCTTTTTACCTCATGGCCCAGTCGAGTACCGGTGAAGTGCTTGTGATCCCTACTTCAATCTGGGGTTGGTTCAATGTTGAGATGTTATTCGAGAACGCTTTGTCCGGACAAAAAACGGCCTTATTTTCACGAAGCTTAGACCTGGGGTTCCACTAACTTTTCTTGTTGAGATCGACTGAAATGCGTAATATAATCCAAAGTCAATTCAATGTTACCTACATAAAACAAGATGATAATGTTTGTTGCTTATTGTTATAGGTATCGATCTTGTATGTGCCTCAATTATTTCTAGAGATCAATCGAAATCTACGCTGTGAGCTTTACTAAGAAATATTAGTGACAAAAAGAAAACTTATCAACGCCCACTGCTGGATATCTCATAAATCGTGCTTATGAGTAATGGTAAGGACGTCCTCCAAAAGCTCATCATCCTTCTAAGGTTATGAATTTACACATGTCAGAAAAAGAGGTTTAGGTATACGAGCTGAACTCATGAAAATAGAGGACTGTTTGTCGATTTAACGAATAAATTTCCAGAGTAGCTTTTGCAATACTTTTACGTTTTATTACTATTACTTTTTATCTAGTCAAATACCTACGTAGTTAGACTGGATAAGGTGCAACTAAATTGCAGCTATTAATGACATAGTAACCGATATATTATACGCAAGTAGAGCCGCAGGGAAAAGCTAGAGGTACCCATTGTTTGGCGAAAGAAACGAGAAACAATTGTGTCTTAAGTGGAAAAAAGAATGTCCTTTGTAAGTTACTCGTCTGTTCATTCTTTCGTTATTTTGATATTTTCTGCCTCAATTGAACGCTGAAATTGACTGAAAACATCACATTTTACAACGAACGAAGAATGGGCGAACTGTCGACATTTTTTCTGAAGACTGCCAGATATTTTTCCAATCTCAGAATATTTCGTCTGAGATCGACATTCCTATTGTGATAAAAATATCTACGATGAAATTGGAATATGTATCGTGATACTTTTATGTGATAAGGTATTATCAGTAAACGCTACAATGCTTTTACACCTTTCAAGAAATGAAATAAAGGCAAAATAATTTTCAAGCTCTTGTAAGGGTTTCATTTTGCGTTGTGGGAACGAAAAAACACATTAGGCTGGTTTTCATCACAATCGTGATCTTTCTAAAAATACGGGCGATTCATTGACCACCACTAATAGACATATAATAGCCGACTGTAGAAATGTTTAGTTTAGACATAGGTTTCAATGTGTAATAATAGATTCAATTTTCAACCATAATCAGTAAATCAATAATCGATGTGAGAGAACATTTTCATACGATGCTTATTCTGTAACTGTCAACATCTTGTCCTAAAGTTTACCAAAAAGAGGTTAAAATGATCCATCTTGACTTCTTTATAGAGGTTCACTCATTATTCCACTAAGGCCCTATTAAGGGCATATATCAACGCGGAACATAGGTCCGAGTATCTCACACAATAGGTCGGTGAAACGAGTCATGTCAATAGTACGGTATGTCCAGTGTCCACGGTCTAAAAATGACGTCCATATCAAAGACCTTATTATGCTTTATGTCGACAGTGAATTTATGGGCATGGGTCACAGTGCACTGGAATAAGCAGTAGGTTTTCTCTCTGCGACAATATCATCGTATAAACGAGATGCTTATAAGTTAAGTGGCGTTACGATAAGAAACAAGCAAAAGTAGTTTGACGCTTGTAGAGGCTGATTTAATCATCTTTTAACTCATATCGACGATAAAAATTAGACTTGATTTGCCAAGTTTACATTCAAATGATAAAAATAGTAAATATTTTAATTTATTAAGGTTACTAGTTTTAAGTTCTTAGTATCGCAAATACCGTGCATTTCCATGCTTCATGATCTAGACTTACTGCTTAGCCCTATACTAGAGCCTCAGGCGCAACTCAGTAATGCCCGGCCTTCGTCAACAAGGGATAAGTTATAGTAAACAAGAGCCAAGTGTTGTGGCCCAGTTCTGTTGTTATAGTATAATATTTCATTTTAACGAATATTTTGGTCCAGTGTACTTAAGAGCGGAAAATTTTGGCGTGGTAGTATACGAAAAATTGTTTATAAATAATTGTTTTGAAGGATAAGAGTAGGCGTGGAGTAGGTGTCCTTTATCACTTCAAATACGTACGTCATTTGACATTTACGCGCCATTATAAATTTATATGAAAACGCACTCGCCTACTACACGGAAACTCTGAAGAAAAACAAATTAAGAAAGCTATTTTCATTTCAGATCCGATCGGAGGCCATTTACATTTTGTCTATCTGTGGATTCAATCTAGAAAGTAATAAGTAATGCTGATGATTTGTGCAAAACTGTAGCTGTAAAAAGCGGGACATAAAATGGTACTAAAGCAAAATACTTTCCGCTTAATGATGATAATCTTTAGCGACGATTACAGCGTTCTTGGACATAAAGACATCTTTGTCTGCGTAGTAATAAATGAGTGGAACAGAACGAAGTTTAGGCTGAGAAAAACAGGCTATACAGAGCTTACGTTAAGCTTTGGAGGGTAGAATTATTTAAGCTGGTCTGTTATTTATGGCTGAACAAGAAACTGTGGGATTAAAGAAAGATGTAGCATCAGAGCATCAGGTGATTGCTTTCACGTAGTGAGGTAACAGAAAAGTGGGCAAAACATCTCAGGGGTATACTTATGTGCTATATTTTTACTAGAAATATTTTTTTTTGGCATATTTGATTTCCAACTCGCACATGATCTACTATGCGAATGAATGATAATTGAGGCGTCTAGTTTCAAATCCCGCTAAAACGATTTTAAGATTTCGAAAAATTGAAAAAAACCGCTTATCCATATAGCTTTGGCCTTAGGCAAAAAAATATATGATACGAATTATTATTGTCATCTGGAAATAGGTACTAATAGTAATTCCTATTCACCTTTAAATTAAATAAAATTTGAATTATAATGAAAACTATTTTCATTTTGGCGTACTTTGTTACGAACATTCCGTTTTAATGGGATTTGAAACGGACATGTTGTATTTTAGCGGGATTTGATAAGAACAAATTTTAATGCATGAATGGCGTTCTACAATACAGTCTAATATTAAATAACCCAAAAAATGATAAAATAAATAATTGTCCGTATAATTTGTCCATTCTATAATATTCAAAGCGATTGCACTTATTGGTTAGGTTATTAGATTAATCAAGTTTTATCGGGTTATTAAAAAAAACAATTAAATTACAGCATGTAAATAAGAAACTTTTATAAATTATTTTCTCAATCTCGTCTTTGCCTTTTTATAACATAATATTTATTCCTAGACATCTGGACATCAGGTGATCCATCTGCTCGTTTGCCTCCTGTCACATAAAAAAAAACATCCCACGATATTTATTTATTTACTTCACTGACTGACTGTACAGGGATATAAACACGCTATCGAACCAAGGCGCGACCGTGACCCTCGCATTGCAGGACTCTCTTCCGGAAGAATCCATACCCTCAAACCGAATCATTTTACTTGAGATACAAGCGTCTGCCCAACAAGCTATGTCGGCGTTCACCACTATAGTGCTTGAAGTCATCCTGGCCGACGACACGGCGCCGCCGCCCACCGCCCTCGTCTTTGACGCAACCTACTATGTGGGTAGCTACACGGAGAGCGATGGTCTCGTTTTCAGCACTCCGATAGCTCTCGCCGAAGGTTTTGAAGTGGATGTCGAGTTCGGTCTCGAAGGAGGTAATAATCGCTCATGCCTTTTATTCTTTGCTTGGTGTCAATTCAAATTCGAAGTAGGTGGTAACGATCATCGTCCTTATCAATTGAATTTCAGATAGTGCGCAATGGTTCACATTAGTGCCGGGCTCTGATAACACCTACAGCCTAGCACTCTCCAGTCCCATTCCGGCAGCTGTCGTCGCCAACAATCAGAAACTCATCTTCGTCGTCACGGCTCAGAGGTCTGGTGGAGTCGCCGCCCGAGCNACTCTTTTCTTGCTAACACATTTAAACGACCTACAATAAAGGTAATAATCATAGCGGCTATAACAAATATTTCTGATTCATAATGAACGAAAAAGACAGTAAACACACGAGAACTCAGCGATAAGGACTGAATCTCATAAATAATTCACATAAAATACATCTTCTACTGAAAGCAAGATTCAGAATAACGACTTCCAAGAAGTAACTTCTGAAACCGAATACCAATTTTCCATAAAATTTTAAACTTAAACTAGAGGTACAGTAAACAAAACAACTATTTTACACAGTTATTAAGAAAATGTACGTCACTTACCTCTATAATTGCCAATATAATCATTAAAAGAGGTCAATAAAAAGTTCACATTCGAAAAAAAGCCTTTAAAAACGAATTTAAATGTCACATCACAACACCGGCCGGCGAGAAATGGTGAGCAGTTCAAATGTTTGATCAAACGTTCGCACTGCATAACCAACGAGGTTGCCTCGGCACAACGTATGCCACTCGATTGCTACTTCAATTTTCCCAGTAGCATTTTTCGGCGGTGTTTCGGGCGGGTATTCGTAGCGCCGTAGACGACCGTAGCGCGCGACACCCGTAGCGGCACTGGCTCGTAGCTACGGCGTGAGTCTATCAGTACTTTTCATGGCGGCTTATCGGAAGGTTTTTTTATAAACTTCTGCATTTTGATTGAAATGATAAACGATAGAACGGGTTCGCATTGACAATAATACGTAGTAACATCACCGTTATTACACCTCATATTTCACGACAAAATGATCACACAAATGGGTTTCTGTAACTCACCCATTGGAAATATCTGACATGACACAAACGATTACGAATTCAACCCAGTCGCCTATTTTTAGCTTTGACATGAATAGAATAGTCCGTTATTACATCTAATAGGCGCACACCGTTGATTTTTAGTTGGCCGATAGTTGTGCCCGATTTTAAATTGTATGAAGAATCGGCCAAATCAAATCGGCGTAGTGTGCGCACTCCCATACATGCCCATACTGACCAACAGCCCGACTAAACTATCGGCCGACGAAAAATCAACGGTGTGCGCCTACTCTNGAATATTTTACAGAAACTTGGGACAGAATGAAGCTAACTTAGAACAAACAGACAAAGAAGCACCCACAACTGAAGATCTCCAAAACTACTGGGCAGATATATGGGAAAAACACAGTAACTACAACTATCAAGCGCAATGGATTAAAGACGAAGAGATTAAATGGCAAAATATTAATGAGATGGAATTCAATAACATAGATCAAGACGATATACAGAATGTCACAAGTAAAATGAAAAATTGGAAGGCGGCCGGGGTAGATGGTTTGCATTGCTTCTGGTTGAAAAAATTCTACATATTGCACGACACTTTAGGAAGAGTAATAACTGACGTTATACAGGGAAACGCTAACTTGCCACAATTTCTAACAAAGGGTGTTACCTATATGTTACCCAAAAGTAAAAACACAATAGATCCGTCACAATACCGTCCTATCACATGCCTACCTACACTTTACAAGCTAATCACTTCATGTATAACTAATAAACTTAACGCGCATATTGAAAACAACAATATTCTGGCTGAAGCACAAAAAGGGTGCAGGCGAAATCATCTTGGGTGTAAGGAGCAACTGGTTATCGATTCTATTATTCTCAAACATGCACATAAACATAAAAGAAATATTAACGTTACCTACATCGATTACAAAAAAGCTTTCGATAGTGTTCCACATTCCTGGTTGATACGCGTATTACAAATTTATAAAGTAAACCCAACCATAATTACTTTCTTGGAAAATACCATGGCTGACTGGAAAACATCACTTATCCTTAACCAAATTAGAACAGAGGAAATTCCAATCAGAAATGGTATCTTTCAAGGTGACTCCTTGAGCCCTTTATGGTTTTGCCTCGCACTTAACCCCTTATCCACCCTTCTCGATAATGACTCCTGCAACGGATATAAACTCAACGAATCTACTTCAGTAACCCACCTAATGTACATGGACGACATTAAGCTTTTCTCTAAATCAGAACAGGCCATGAAAAAACTTATTGAGATCACAGAAACTTTTAGTAAAGATATTAATATGACATTTGGACTGGATAAATGTAGAACACTGAGGATTGTTAGGGGTAAAGTTAAATGTTCCTTGAACACCAATGAAATTCATAGTTTTCAGCTAATGGACTCAAACGACACTTATAAATATCTAGGTATTCAGCAAGATAAAGGGATTCACCATATCAAAATTAAGAAAGATCTTACACAAGAATATTTCCGACGCATAAATTTAATCTGTAAAAAGCAACTCTACTCCAAAAACTTAATCAAGGCCATTAATACATTTGCAGTACCAATTCTAACTTACTCTTTTGGAATAATAAAATGGACAAAAACAGACATAAACAAATTAGAAATAAAAACTCGAACTACACTCACTAAACATAACTATTTACATCCAAAATCAGCAATACAAAGAACAACAGTCAAAAGGGATAAAGGAGGAAGAGGCCTAATTGATCTCAAATTATTGTGGGAGGGTCAGATACAAAACATTAGGAAATTTTTCTATGAAAAATCGAGCANTTTTTGCGTCGTTTGAATGTTAGTTATGAGTTCGAGAAATGGCAGATGTATAATAGAAACTTATTTTTTGTTCATGGTAATAATTCAGTTAGCGTTTACTTACAATATGATAAAGTGGTGTACATTATCGGCTTCTAACTGATGCCCGCGCCCACGGCTGAAGGCTCAAGACAAATGGTTTTTATTGCCTCTTCAAGATAGCGACGTTTGATCCTATTACACTGCGTTTTAACTACAGCTGTGCTATGAGCTAAATGGTAATTTAGAATAGAGGAAACTAGCAATTACTGGTAATATTAATTGCTAAATGGGCCATATTATGCCCGTGGCGTATAACTTTTGGAAGTTGAAATGCTATCAGTGGAAAAGACCAGGTGCTATTCGAGCAGGTGCTATTTGGGTGGGTGCTCAAAGAGGAATACGTCGAAATGAAGCATTCACCGGTTTATGTCTCGTTTCACACTCCTGTGGAGATATCTAAAACGCTTTACGTCTCTTTACACCTACGCTATGGTAAAATTACTGTGTAGGCATTATTGGACTTATAGGTACATGCTAGTTAATCATTTGATGTGTTAGTGTTTAACACGGATCCTTTGACAGTTTGGTATTTTAATTTAATAATTTGTGTAATTTTTTGACTTATAATTTTATTGTAACCGATGTGGTGACTAAACTTATTATGTTGCTCATTAAATAAATAAATAAATTTGACAAATAGATTCCATGCTGTTTTAAGCCTCGAATACACTGGGGGACTAAATTCACCCAACGTGCTTAGAGCCATACATTCTTGTTATAGCTTGGATATGAATACCTTATAATTAGGCTGAGTTGCACCACCCTTTAAGTTTTTACATAAATATTTTTACTATTGTGGGTAGTGTAAACAATTTTTATGTGCAACATTTGAAAGATGAGGTGTGTCGCAGTACTTTCCAAGTCTTATAAGTACACTGACGTAAATAACTATAAAGTTTTGGAGCGATTGTTTTCAGATAAATGTATCATGACTGATTTAAGGTAAGTGATAGAAAAAGTGAACTCCGTAACAAGTGGGTTAATTTTACCCTCAACAATAACTGGTGCTTTTGGTATGAAGTTTGTCAGATTTTTGACGTTTGTCAAGGCTAAAGTAAGATGGTGCAACTCAGCTTTAATGTATAGCCCTGGCTTTCATATGACCGCAGCTTTACAATGCATTGTGTGGACTTTTGCGTCGTTTGAATGTTAGTTGTCAGTTCTAGGGATAGCAGATGTATAATAGAAACTTATTTTTTGTTCATGGTAATAATTCAGTTAGCGTTTACTTACAATATGATAAAGTGGTGTACATTATCGGCTTCTAACTGATGCCCGCGCCCACGGCTGAAGGCTCAAGACAATTGGTTTTTATTGCCTCTTCAAGATAGCGACGTTTGATCCTATTACACTGCGTTTTAACTACAGCTGTGCTATGAGCTAAATGGTAATTAGGAACAGAGGAAACTAGCAGGGTTACCCACTGGTAATATTAAATGCTAAATAGGCCATGGTATGCGCGTGGTGTATGACTTTTGGATATTAAAATGAAGACGTATTCCACTTTGAGCACCTGCGTAAATAGCACCCAGTATCATTTCAGACTCATGTGGAAATATCTAAAACGCTTTACGCCTAAAGGCTAATCAACCTTAATATACATTTATAGCCCTGGCTTTCATGTGACCGAAGCTTTACAATGCATCGTGTGGACGCAGGTTAAGGAAATACATCGGTAGGTAGCGAATTCCACGTCCTTACTACATGTGAAAATAATTAGTTTCGCTTTACACATTGCCGGAATATCAACATACGGGAACATTGAGTGACAATGGGGTCACGCATTCCCATCACATGTTTTCGTAAGTGATAAAACGGGAATTTATGTACGTTAAAATAGAATAACGGAGAGAAATAAAATAAGTATCTTTTGAAAGCCATTATTGATGTTTATTCCACTTGCCTGGAGGAAGCGCCGATCCGTTTGAAATAGGAAATAGTGGGCGTTATTTCCTACTCGTTGACATTTAAGGTAAACATCCTATGGCATAACGGTAGTATAAACTTCCAATTTAAACGCTACTCACTTTAGAAATGCAATTAATTAAGAAAACAAACAGAAGCAACACAAAGATCACAATGTAGATACTGCATTAGTCTATTTGTATCATATGATGTAACCAATTCAGTCGTAATAGATGTTACCTATTAGCCGTCATAGAAGCCAAACTGCTCCCTAAAGCTAGAAACGTTACGGACCCGCATTTTAGTAAAAGCACCCTACAATACCTAAAGTTAAAATATCCAATGATAAACGAGTGTACATGATGGCTCTTAGCTACGTGCAGCTTCTACTTTCGTTTCATTTCTGCAACAATACGGGGAAAACCATATATCTTGGCTAGTCTAGCACTAACCCCCAATGATAAGTGGCCGCCGTTTCTCCAAACTCCTGAGTTATTTGCAGTGAATTCACCTTCTATTCCGTCGCCTTCTGAACCAACTCTCACATGTTCAGACTTTATACTGAATAGAGTCTATTAAGGTTCTATCCTCACCAATAGACTGAAGTAGTTTTATAAATAAAAATCTATGAAACAGACAGCTGTTTCCAGTGCGAAGATTTCGAATTATAGTGATTCCAATTCAATGATAAATTCTTCCTATAAATCTTATAGATTGGTAAAGTACCTATAAATAAACCTTTCATCCACTAAGATAACTAAGTACTGACATTAGCTCAAATGAAATATTTTGATGAACAGGCTACAATAGGCTAGATGACAAGTTTTCAATGATTTGTCCGTCAGACAGATAATAAGAAAATATTAGACTCATATTTTTTATTCGAGTTGAAATGGCGCGATACGTCACGCTTGAGTAGAATTTTTACTCAAAAGTTACGTCAGGTGACATTTCAACTCAATATAATACTGTAATTTTGCGATTATGGAAAAAACTAAAAAATATGAGTCTAATATTTTCTAATTATCTGTCTGACGGACTTAATAGAATTTCGATTTTATTACCCAGTCATCATCCCTATTCACCAAAGATCTACAAAAGCTCCAACTCGGAACCAAGTAAGCTCAAAGTTTACAATGCACATCATTACACCTAACTTTCAGAGCAAAAATATCTAAAATTAACTTATTTTTCCCAATCGCGGAGTTTCCAAATAAAATTTTCGTTTATTTCACTGAACTTTGTAGAGCTCCGGTCTAGACGAGGTAATCTCTTATACAGTCAGCAACAATATTATTTGGATATCATTAAAACTTTTATATCTTATCGGTGCGAGCTTTTCGCCAATTTACTGCCGTCTTCGGGCGATTTGGTTGCGTAAGTCAAAGTCAAATATTTCTTTACTTTTTTGATTATTATATTTTTGATTTACGTTTAAGAAGTTGTATAATATACCTATTGCCTTTAACCTTTACGTGTCTCGGAAACTTTTTTCCTCGGCATTAAGTTTTCATTGCCTACTTTTGTCAAAGCTTTTTGTTTTAATCTGCCAATTTGTTATTAGTTTATTACACTGAAAGGGAGATATACCTAAGATAGATATTTGGTCTTGTTCTACCACAAAAAATAGAGATGTTGTTAAAATTATGCTTAAGTTTTTGAATAGTTCAAAACTATGTTGCTGACTGTATTTAAATGTCGCAACAAAACTAACCATCTGCTCAGTTTAAAGGCTCATTCGTTGCAGTGACTAATTTAAAGCAGTATCGGAAATTTTATTTCAGACGAGATTTCAAACTTTAGCTATTTTAACTAAAGCTAGAATTGAATACATAAAAGCTAAATAAGAAAACGGTTTCTATTTAATTTCCCATATATTTTTAGCGCAGTGCAGTGACGACTTTCGGAAAATCGCTGGTAGAAGTTGGATGTGGCAAAGACGGGGAAAATATCGATATTGGAATAGACCTATGTCCAACAGTGATCTCTTATTGACCGATGATTATGATGATGATGATGATGATTTTATCTACGTATTCAATTCCTATATGAAAGCTGTGAAATAGGGCAGGTTATTACTTATTAATTTGAAATAAATAGGTACCTATATGAAAATGTAATTTTAGGATATGGATGGTAGAAAATTTACAAAATAAGTATTTTACGTCAAAAATAGAAGTCCGCAATTGCCTAAAGCAGTAAACTGAAAGTGTTTACGAAACAATATTTTAAATTAGCAACGCGTAAAGCCGCAGAAAGTAGCCTCAAACACGAAAATGATGTTTCCAAATCTATTTTGTATTCCTGTCGCAAGACCCCTATTACGTTATCCTTGTACTTATAATAAGTACTTTCGTGCTGTGTATAAATTGGAAAAAAAACCGTTTAAAAACATCAGAAGATGGATAGAGATCCTCCAGGCCAATCCAAATTAATGTAGGTATAGTTTTACATTGAATTTACTTTTCCTATCCTGGAATAAAAAAAAACTAAAAGTGGAAGGTAGCACAATTTATTTAGAAAATGCTACGCGCTCNGTACTTTATCTCCATACCTTAACTTCGAAAATTGTGTGTGCCACAGTTACAGTGACGTACCTGTGACATTATTGCTTACCTGCTCGGACCGATAACTCTGTCTCACTCTTACGTCGCTTCGGTGACTCGTTCGGCTGATTTCGTCGCGAAACTTATCACGATGCAGCGATCACCGCCAGCAAAAATACAAAAATACTCATCAAATCCTGACCTACCCGAATCAGGTGAAGGAGACGACGACTTTGTTAGCTTCCGTAGGCGCAGGCTGCCCGAGGATGATAACACCAAACGAATGATGGATTATGTTGAGAAAAAACTGAGTGCTGAGCTTGATTCATGGAAGTCGCAGTTAGACGTCGTCATCGCCGACAGTATCAAAAATTCTATTGATTCTATTTTAGACAAAGAGATCAAAAACATTACCTCGACCATAAACAATTCCCTCAAGACATTTGGAGACAAATTAGATAACATCGAAAAATCATTATCATACGCGATGGAGAGGCAGGACAGCATTGATTCGCGTTTAAAGCAGGTAGAAAGCAGATTGAGCTCGAGTGATGATATTAGCAGTCAAGTAACTCAATTACAAGACAAAATCGATTCAATGGAGCAGCAGGCGCGACTGTACAACATTGAANACGCGCTCCACCAAAATCGAGGAGGCGTCAACTATTTATTTAAACACATGCCTTTGTGTGCTATTGAAAACCATTTTTAGAGAAAACACATACATTACACGAGAAAGGAATAGTATCGGCAAAAAGCGATGATCTTTCCCTTTTGATGTAAGATCCCGAGGTTTTCCCGGACATCGGCTCGAAATCCCGGCTTATCCTGTTTGATCCCGCGAATAGTAAGGCATATGGGAAAACATGAAGGAATTGCTTTTTTATCTGTTTTGCACATTATTATTGTGTGTATATTTTGTATCCCTTCAATATGCGCTTGGGAAATAAATTTGCCTAAACTGATGGCAGCGCTAAAACTTCTTAGGTTGGTTTTACGATGGATTTTATGAGTTATATGTGTGTGCAATCAATTTCGTTCCACGTTACTAACCGTCTCGTTTTCAGAACTGGCCGAGTACTTCACGCTATCGAACCAAGGCGCGACCGTGACCCTCGCATTGCAGGACTCTCTTCCGGAAGAATCCATACCCTCAAACCGAATCATTTTACTTGAGATACAAGCGTCTGCCCAACAAGCTATGTCGGCGTTCACCACTATAGTGCTTGAAGTCATCCTGGCCGACGACACGGCGCCGCCGCCCACCGCCCTCGTCTTTGACGCAACCTACTATGTGGGTAGCTACACGGAGAGCGATGGTCTCGTTTTCAGCACTCCGATAGCTCTCGCCGAAGGTTTTGAAGTGGATGTCGAGTTCGGTCTCGAAGGAGGTAATAATCGCTCATGCCTTTTATTCTTTGCTCGGTGTCAATTCAAATTCGAAGTAGGTGGTAACGATCATCGTCCTTATCAATTGAATTTCAGATAGTGCGCAATGGTTCACATTAGTGCCGGGCTCTGATAACACCTACAGCCTAGCACTCTCCAGTCCCATTCCGGCAGCTGTCGTCGCCAACAATCAGAAACTCATCTTCGTCGTCACGGCTCAGAGGTCTGGTGGAGTCGCCGCCCGAGCCACTATTGTTATAGCATTGACTGACGGTAAGGACGAAGCTAGATAGGTTACTAACACTTGTTAGCTTGCTCACATCTTTTAAATTCTAATTTCACACGTTTGATTCGTTTCGCTTGAAAAATACTCTTTTCTGTACTAAACACTTTAGTACACATTTAAATAATGTAGATCCCTGAGGTGATCAAAATTTAGGCTTTCGAAAAAATGTGTCGATAATTTCACTACCTACCGCAAAAGAACCGTAAAGAAAATAGTTATTTTAGATAGTCTTCAATATCTTCAAAAGTTCCTGACTTAGCTTTATGAAATTAATATTAAGTTAATTCAAGCTTTTTATTTAGAATACTTAAATGTATGTTTGTGTTGTTTTCTATGAAACAAGTAACCGACTTTTTTACTTTGCGGTCCAATGTATTAGGCAAGTTTACAGTGACAACTGTTCTTTCACAAGTTCATAACACCGGCCTATAGCTCATGCTGGCATTATGTTATGTGAGTAAAGTTTTAGAGTAAGCCCCNTAGGTAAGCCCCATACATTGAAATGTGAATTTACAGGTTTACCTTAAGGCATCTTTTATTATTATAATTACTACTAAACGGAATCTAAGTTACAGATAATTTTTCTGGTATTTAAGTACCAATATTTATCTTTTTCATCTTAATCAACTGCGATTAGTTTTTTTTAGTTTAATTATTTATTTTTTATTTATTTATTTATCTTTATTATTATGGATTTGACATTCAATTTGCATATCTTTAGCACAACTAATCATTCGAATGGAACTTAAGTTGATAATGTTATCAATTCTGATAGTGTTTTCCTCTGATGACTCGTTTAATTGTTTAGTTCGTCATTTATTACTCGCAATCTTTGTATACCGTAGCTCCTTTTGTGGTTTTCGTTCTCTACGTTTAGCAATAAGATCCTAGTTCTAAGTAATTCCATAATAATCCAATTCCTTCGCTAACTGCTTTCTTTGTTTTTAGGCAACCCAGATTCCTCGGTGACTTTCGACAAAGTTTTATATGAGGGAATCGTACAAGGAAGTGTGGTACAACATGAAGAAATCACAGTTCAAGGGTACAGCGGAACTAGTGTTACTATTATTGGAGGTAAATATTATTACATTTTGTTTTCTTTTTTAATGTAGGTGTATAAGCCGAAAAACGTCAAAATTAACAGAAAGTGAACTGAAGTGTTGTGAAATGAAATAGCAGCACGGCGTTGGATGCAGGCCGCCGCCAACTGGCCATTAACACATTGAACGCCAACGCGGTCAATGTTGTCCGACACTGCACTTTCCTACCAGGCCAAGTAAAAATTACAATTTTTTTCAATTTTCGTCGATTGTTTTTTTTTGTTAAATCGTTACATTATAAAGATAAATAAAGGATTTTATTAACATATAGTTGTTTTTGAGTCTCTACATCGAATTATTAAGCGTCGGACATCATTGATCCCCATGGCCCCAGCGAGCGAAAATTCGAAAATCCGTTCCGTAGGGCCGCGCGGTCATGTTGTCGACCATCCCCGCTCGCATCCAAAAAATTTACAAATATACTTACACAATCATACGATATCATAATACTAACGGAGACTTGGCTGCATGCTGATATAAATGATACTGAATTTATAGATAACAGGTATTGGGTATTCCGCGCGGATCGTGATCGGGTGGGCAGCGGCCGCAGTGACGGCGGGGGCGCTCTGATCGCGGTCTCGCGCGCACTGTGCCCGGCCGGCTGCGCGCCCGCCGCCGCTGCGTACTCCCCACTCCCGCCAGTGATTGATCATGTTTTTATAGAATTCAAACTGGCTAAGCGATACATATGTATAGGTGCAGTTTACATTCCGCCAAGGCAAAATCATGAGGTATATATTAGTTACTTAGACATGTTAGAAAATCGGTTGCTTGGCAGTAATAGTGGTATTACAGACTTTTTCATAGCCGGAGACTTCAATTTGCCCGAGCTTGTTTGGATAAACAATGAATCCTATAAACAATACCCTAGTATTGAAGATCTCAACCAAACCCATATAAATATAAATAACTTTATGGCGGAACTAAACTGTTTTCAATTGAATACATTAAGAAATAATAATAACCGTATTCTGGACTTGTTTTTTACCAACAAAACTGATTGTACGTTATCATCTGCGGAAAGCACATTGCTTCCTATCGATTGCCATCATCCACCATTCTGCGTTTCAGTTATATGTGAGGTGAAGCAGGATTACATGCGGCCTAAACCATACTTGAGGTACTGCTTTAGAAATGCAGACTATGATAAAATTAAACAGGAAATTGCAGATACTAACTGGGATGAAATCTTTTTTAATAAAAATGCTATTGCTGCAGTATCAGTATTTTATGAAATAATTTATAATATTATTGAGCGTTATGTACCTAAAACTAAATACCATAATAAGACGTCCGTATACCCTGCCTGGTTTACTCCTACATTAATTAATCTTTTTAATAAAAAAAACCGTGCCTGGATTAATATGAAAAAATATAATAATCCATCTAATTATAACATATTCTCTATATTAAGGAAACAATTCAAAACCTTGTCAGAAAAATGTTACAAAACATACATGGCAAAAGTAGAAAGCAGCATAAAAATTAATATTAAATACTTCTGGAAGTACATGTCGCAACGCCGTAATTTGTCTGAAATACCGTGTAGTGTACAATACCAAGGTTCTATCTCACGTAGTCCTGAAGAATGCTGTGAATTATTTAGTAGGTTTTTTCAGTCGGTATTTCAGCCATCTTCTGTACCTGATGATCTTTGTATTGACGATTTTAATTTAGCATATGAAAATACTCCTGATCTTATGATTCACGACATTAAAGTATCTAGGTTGCAAGTGGAAAAAGTCCTACAAATGCTTGATACTTCTAAGGGCGCCGGCACTGATAACTTGCCAGGAATTTTCTTTAAGGTAACAGCGTCTGTGATTGATCTTCCTCTTTCTTATATCTATAATAAATGCTTATCTGAGGGGGTTTTTCCTGACATCTGGAAGAGTGCAAGAATAGTCCCAGTTCACAAAGATAGTTCCAAGTCTGATGTTACAAATTATCGGCCAATATCCATCAAGCTTTACCTGCGAACCAAGTGACGTACACTAATCTTGGGAGCCGCGCGGGTCAGCTTATATGAGAATTATTGAAGAAATGCTGTCCATCGGCTCAATACAGAGGTTTGAACATAGGTCTGACTCGCGGTCATCATTGTCCGACGCGGCCCGAACGGAAAGTTAAAGTGTCGCCCATCATTGTCCCCCATGGCCCGAACGGAACAGTGCCATTTTTAGGCTGGCAGCGAAGGTGTTAAGGAAATCATTGGGGGATCTAATCCTATGTTCAGCAGTGGACATCTTGTGGCTGAAATGATGATGAACTGTATTTTTGTATTTAGACGAAAACTTTTTGTTGCAATTTTATCTGACAAAAACTAATAATATTCTGGTATTTCCAGCATACGCTCCGTTATTCGAAGCGACTCTTTCTGGTGGCTCGGTAGTGGTGACGGCGTCTGGATCTCTAACGCTTCCTTCTGATATCCAAATTATTGTCTTGGAGCTTCGAGCGGGAGATATAGGAGCTGTTCTAATCCTTGAAGTCACTGCAACAGGTAAGTTGTCATAATTTTGATTTTTATGCGTCTCTCAACAAATAGGTCATAATATCTGTTGTGATTCTTACGCCCGTATTCACAAACGATACTTGCATAAGCGAACAGCGTTGAATGGAGCTCTGTGATTGGTTTGTGTGTCACTCTGTGCGTCCACGCGCACTGTGAGACGTTAAAACGTTTGTGAATACGGGCGTTAGAACAAGATTATTTAAGTTTCGAGTACGTCTGATTTCATTAAAATGATGAGCAAATCGAAAGCTATTCCACAAAGGTTCTACTGCCAAGTATGTCGCTTATCCGTGTTGGCACCGTACGTGGTCCGCATAAGGCCTGCCAGAAAAACTCAAGAGCGAGTAATTTTAGTAAAAGGTTCATCAATTTTCAATCCTTCAGGCTATAGCCACTATGGCTATGGCTATCCTAAAAGTGATCGTAACATGTATCGACGATTGATTTTAGTGTTCAATTGAGGGTAAGGTATTAGTGCTCTTACAGAATTTGGCAGACTTATAAATAATTGTACGATGAAAAATATACTAAAAAAGACTTTCTTAACATTTCATTAAAATTCTCTATATCATAAATCTGTTACTAAAAAATATTTTTTCGTTATTTTTCTGGCAATCTACAGCAATGTCTCAGGTGATCATACTGAATCACTTAAATCTCACACTTTTCATGTCAAAAGTATCATCTAGTAGGTAGGTATTTCTATGTAGTTAATAAAGTATATTTCTCTCTGAAAAGCAAATCATATGCTCGCAACACCCTAGCGGCACCTACGTGCTTCGCGTGTGCAACACAAATAGAACCTAGACAACTTGATATTAAAACTACTTACTCCCTTCCAGTGGCGACAACCGAAGGGACCCCAAAGCCGAAGGGACCCGAGAAACATAAAAGTTATTTGTTATTTTTCTTTGATTCTAATAAAAAACGCTTTTACCTGGCCAGTAAACCTCGCATTGTTTGGTCTAACTAAAAGTTTTTACGCAGAGTCCATTACAAATGCTACCGCAAGCGTCTGTCATATTTGCTCTTGTTAAAGAAATACAAACTCCTTGACTTAAAGTCTAGACGCTCTCAACTCGATGCCAGGCTATTATTTGACATCTGCAGCAATAAATATGACTGCACTGATTTAATAAATCGCATCAGCTACTCGGTACCAACACGGACTCACAAGCGATCTTCACGCACCAATCCGCTTTTTGCGGTTACTAAGTCTCGTACAGCGGCTGGTGTCCGATCCCCCCTTCGCCGCATGCTTGATACTTATAATAAAAAATTTAACTCCATAGATATTTTCACATGCAGTGCAGGATCCTATAATAGAGAAATCATAAAATTACTAACTAACATTTAATACTAATTCACATTCACACACACTAAAAACCTATTTTACATACACTGATATTCATAAGAACACTAGCGCACTTATACTGCGCACACATCGCCAACAAACCAATAAAATTAATTTCGACTATGTAATAAGAACTTAAGTCCCGCATTTTCATGTTTATTTCCATTTAACGTAAAATGTAACCATCGATGTTGAGTTTACAATTGTTAAGATTCTTTTTTCATATAAGTTTTAGTTTAAGTTTATTGTAAACTTGTTTGTGGTTCATACAATAAATTAAAAAAAAAAAAAAAAAAACTAATCTTCGTTTCGTTCATTTCAGCCAAATGACGTCCTCTGCTGGACAAAGGCCTTCCCCAAGGATTTTCACTATGACCGGTCCTGCGCTACCCGCATCCAGGTACTTTCTGCGACCTTTGTTGAGCTTGCTATGTCTTTGGGAACCCTAAAAAAAAAACACCTGTGCTTGTGATGGACACCAGACCTCACGCCAGTCACCTCGCGTGTTCCCTTCTTCCAGTCGTGCTTGGATCTAACAACACAAACAAATTGAGGCGTGTATAAAAAGGCAGAGGAATATTGTTACCTCCATATTTTTACCTCTATCTATCATCTTAAAAAAAAAACTCTGTGACTGTGACCCTTTTAGAGCACTTTACTCGTCCCGAATACGAGAATAGCTTGCCCTATCTCCACTTTAGGACAACATTATCGGGTGGTGCTGAAAAAAAGTGGCGCAAGAAACTCAGTCACCTTTAACTAAGCTTCGTTTCGTTCATTTCAGCCAAATAACGTCCTCTGCTGGACAAAGGCCTCCCCAAGGATTTTCACAACGACCGGTACTTTCTGCGACCTTTGTTGAGCTTGCTATGTCTTTGGGAACCCTAAAAACAAAACACCTGTGCCTGCGATGGACACCAGACCTCACGCCAGTCACCTCGCGTGTTCCCTTCTTCCAGTCGTGCTTGGATCTAATAACACAAACAAATTGAGGCGTGTATATTTAATCGCGCGGCGCCGACCTCTCACGCAAGAGCTAGTCATTGTTAAGTAATTATAATATCGATTGCCTTCATTCCGCTACTTTTATGTTCTTACCAGTTAAGAAGGATAATGGAGTAGCTTAGTGCAAAGAGTTTGCCAGCGTCAGAAGAGTTTTGAAGAGTCAAAAACACGATCAGGATCTTGTCCTTGTTTAAGATATCCTAATATAGTTTTGTTCACGTACGATAGCGACATAAAAAGGTTACTACACATACCAAGCCCGCCAACAACCCGGCGCTTGGTGTCGGCGGCTTTATTTTAAAATGAAGTAGAAGGAACGGAGCTACATTAATTTACATGGTTCATAACTGAGGAATGTTTCTTGAGCGAGATGTGGCCCATAAAGTAAAAATTGTTACAACTCTCCTAGGTCTCTCCTACTTGATTATTAGGCCGAATATGAAATGAACCATTATTATTTTGAGTAGTATGTCATATTATCAGCTTACATAACAGCCTAATCCCTGAAATAAACCTGGCAGTTAAAGGTTTGCGTCCAACTCGATAAATTATCTAGGGTTACCTTTTTTACCATTTGCCCAACTATTCATTCATCGATCTTCGACTTATTACTTTTTTCGACACATAATGGATTCCAGGATTTCTTATTATAAATCTATTCCAAAAATTCCAATGGGCACTTTATCCATGTTATTGGATCGAATAGGAATTTAAACGTATCGTTATATCAAATGGTATAATTTACTTTTAATTCACAGATAGATTGAGGATTAATAAAACCGTGAAACATCAAGTGAGATACAAGCCAAGAGCTTGCTCGTTGTGGATAAAAAAAATCCACAAGTGATTTAAACACAATAGTTATTATCAAAATAACAAGGTGGGTATTTATAATTATCAAATTATTAATATACCTACGAACTAGCGTTATAATTTTCGCTGAGCTGTATTTGGAAGTCATGCTCTAAATATATCTAATGAAATAATACATGCTCTGCTTAGTTACGGACTAAAACAATTGGAACTATGTAAATATTAATATAAAGCACAGAATTCAACGCTCGTTGAAATATTGGTTTATGCATTTGTTTGATGGGCATAATAATTACTGAAGTTTTAGACAGCGTTATATGTTAAAAGTAAACACCTATTTAAACTTATAACTGACTGTAAACTTAGATTCTAAGTTTATAGAGGATTAGAACAATGTGATTACCAAAATTTGATAGAACTCCAACTTTATAAGTAAACTTAAACGTTTTGACTTTGTAGAATAATTTTGTATGAGTTATAGGCTGGATTGCACCATCTTACTTTAAATTTGACAAATGTCAAAAATCTGTCAAACTCCATACAGAAAGCACCGGTCATCGTTATAGTCACCGTGAAAGTAAGTTGGCCATAGTGTATCTTGGACTCGTTTGTCAAATGGATCTTGAAATGTCACAAAGGGTGGAAGGGCTTTGTGATGTTTGGATTAATACCATTTTTATGGTAAATCAAAGGTGGTAAGAACTATTTTTGTACGGCTTTATTCATGGGTTATGGTGGTTAGTTATAATTGAAAATTACTAAGCAAGCTCCGTTCAGAGCACTTTAAATACACGTCCCAATATAGCTTGCCCTACCACCACTTCGGGACAACATATATAGCGACTAATGCTGAGAAGATTTTTTGCCATAATATTTGTCTCGAAGCGCTGGTAGGGCCCAACAGTTAAGGAGACATGTAAAGTGCCCCATAAGGGCTACATTTTTTAACTGTATTTGACGTTAAAATTGAATAAAATTCCCGATGATTTCCACTGTTTAATAAAACATAAACAATCTCTCTTTATCTAAAACAACAATAATTACAATACTACAAACTCATATCATTAAGCCGCGTTGTGTGATATACAATTTCCTTCATTAACACGTTCCTAGAATCGTTATTATTATGGAAATGAAAATGAAGCCATAAGCTCGATTAAGATAATACATTATCATAATTAAAATCCGACAGCGGCTTACTCATCATATTTTGCATAAGATCTAATGTAGAGTTCGGATCGCTAATTTTGCTTCAACCTTTAGTAAAGCTATGGTTACATTATTCTTTAAAAAAAACCGGCCAAGTGCGAGTCGGACTTGCGCACCGAGGGTTCCGTACAAACCTGCAAGGTTTACAAAGTTCGTTCATTACGACAATCGAGTCATAACTATGTNAAAAAAAAAAAAAAAGAAAATTGAAGGTTTGGTATACTCCTCCCTCACGCTGCTATGGCCAGACGGGTTGGGAAGGCCATATTTTTTAATATCTATCATAATGTCTCATTAACTCATAATTATTTTTTAAAACTTTAATCGAATAATCTGTTGTTTTCAGTAGGTGCTCATTTTGTCTTAATCAAGAATTTAATCTAGTCTTCCTACGCAGTCTTTAAAAAAAGTCTTAGGCTTCGTTCAAAATACGAGAGATACCTCTTTAAGATCGCGGGTAATCTTTCAAAAGAAATTCGTACACCGTCATGGTCTTGGCGGAAAAGAAATTTTATACGCATTTATCTCTTAATTTTCCGCCGAGTCAGGTATTTCGCGACGAGAGGGTTTGATATACAGGGTAGAATTTTTAAAAGATTTTAGTCGGTTCGATTCTCGGGTGTGACAAGCGAATTTTCGAAAATCTTTGAATGCAGTTTTCTTTCTTTTAAAAAATAAAGGAATGTTTTCTTTGAGTAAAATATTATATCTACAGTGGCAGTGGTTCTTAACCTTTAAGTCGCGAGGGACCATTTGACCAAATTTCTGTCTTGTCAGGGACCACTTTTTTTTTTCAAAATCCTATGAAAGGGGAGGTCGATTTCTCGCCCACTGTGCGCCGTTTGCGTTGTGTTGCCTCGACTCATCACGTCACGTCACTTGTTTATTACGATGTCTTGGCGGACCATTCGGAATGCCTCCAGGGACCACCAGTGGTCCGCGGACCACCGGTTAAGAACCACTGATCTACAGTATTAAGAGTAAGTAGATGCTTTCCCTTTAGATGGCATTACGAAATTCCACCCTGTATAAAAACGGAATTCTTGAAGCATACCTTAGGTTTTTAAAACACTCAAGAAAGGTTGTTGAGGATTCCGAGTGTTTTATCCTGCGGATTACGTACGTCTGGAATCCAAGTATTATAAATTGAAATTTAATTTGAAATATTAAATTTAATTAATTAAATCGAGCTGTATTAGTTCACCACATCAGAGATTTAATTAAGTCTATTAATTAACTGCGCGCTTAACTTTCGGTAGCCCAATTTAGTACGATGTTGTTTTAATCCTATGCAAGCAATGGGAATTCATTTTAGCAGGAATCTTGTATCTGTCAGATTGTAACAAGCTGTCTGCTTAGTTAGGCAGGGTACAGTCAGGGCCTTATTAATAAAAGTTACACCCTAGTTGAACTCTGGCTTAAGTTGTCATTTAGTATGGAAATGTAATTTTAATCCAGAGCTGTTCATCCTAAGTGTAACTTTTTATTAATGAGGATGTGTTGTCAACTTTTTGGCCACTTTGGATGCCACGAACAATTTGACGCTGACTGTACTAGATAAGATTCAGTTGATGGGTGAATATTCTCAGATT